ATCTCTTCGTGTTCTTTTTCTTTCTTCTCTCGTTCCTCAGTCGGCAGGCCCTTCATCTCCTCCCTCCTCAGATGCTCCTTCTCCATCTCGTACCTTTTGAAGTCCTCCCGCCGGCGTCTGTCAATGTCCTCTAGGTCATCTGTCGTCTGATTGGTCGGTTAGGAGGATGTGGTGTTGCGATTGGTCACTTGGGTGATGACGAATGGTTGTGATTGGTCGGCTGGTATCGTGTGAATGGTTGTGATTGATCGGTTGGTTTCGTGTGAATGGCTGTGATTGGTCAGTGAGTTTCGTGTGATTGATCGTGATTGGTCGGTTGGTTTCGTGTGATTGATCGTGATTGGTCTGTTGGTTTCGTGTGATTAATTGTGATTGGTCGGTTTGTTGGGTGAGTACGATTGTGCGTGATTGTGATTGGTTGACGAGTATGACCAATTGTAAAAAGTTTTAAAAATTCTGATTGGTTGGTTGCGGTTTCTCTTAAATAGCAAGTAAGTTAGAGTTAGTTAAAGACTTTGCGACTTGATTTCAATTGAGTGACAGTGAACTAAATGCGAATTAATCTTCATCATGTTTTTTATGAGGTGTTGGTGAATTTTCATTGAATCAATATGTCCCATCATCTAATCTGCCAATGGATGAAACCTCCGACCAACCGACTAACCAATCAACCAGCCAATCAACCAACCAACCAATCAATCAACCAGCCAACCAACCAACCAACCGACTAACCAATCAACCAGCCAATCAACCAACCAACCAATCAATCAACCAGCCAATCAACCAACCAATCAATCAACCAATCAATCAATCTATCAACCAACCAACCGACCCTTTTAATCAGCTTCACCAAATCTTTCGTCTCAAAGGAATGCTGATTGGACGAATCAAGATGGCCAAACAGTTTTTCAAGTTCGTGTAGGGCTGGCGGGGGTAGGCGGTCCCCACTGTCCGGGTGTGCCTGCCTCACTTTTAGTTTAGGGGAGGGGTGTGATTGATTAGGGCTGATGGAAAACAGGGATGTAAGGGTGAATGTTTGTTTGTTTGTAGATTTGTCAATTGTTAAACTGGACCATCATGTGGACGTATACAGTGATGAATGGGTCAGTGAATTAACAAGTGACGAATAAACATAAAGACGGAAGGAATGAATGAATGAAAAAACGAACGAACGAATGAATGAATAAATAAATGAATGAATGAATGATTGGGCAAATGATGAACTGCATGGACATATGGTAGACATATGAACGAATAAACAAACAAAGAGATAAATCAAACAACTAATCAATAACCAGATAGGGAGATGAGTATTTCACGAATAAGAAATAAATGAATGAATGAATGAATGAATGAATGAATGAATGAATGAATGAGTGAATGAATGAATAAATGAATGCATGTATGAATAAATGAATGAATGAATAAATGAATGCATGTATGAATGCATGTATGAATAAATGAATGAATGAATAAAAATTGATGGATGGATGAATGAGTGGATGAATGAATGAAAAATAGTTGAATGGATGAATGTAGATAGACAGAAGAATGAATAAAAATGAATGGATGGAGAACAGATGGCAGACTAGACTATAGGAACGAAGTTAGCATAGTGACTGACACAAGTTTGTGATAAATGACACAAGGCTGTGATGAAAAAAATTTTATGAATGAATGAATGAATGAATAAATGAATGGATGAATGAATGAATGGGTGAAAGGTGAATGAATGAATGAATAACGAATAAGTAGATAAAAAAAAGAATGAATAAATGAACTTAGTTGATAGAGGAATGAATGAACGTATGAATGAATGAATGAATAAATGAATGAATGAATGGATGAACGAATAAATGAATGAAGAACAGATGGAGAGAGAGAGAGAGAGAGAGAAAGAGAGAGAGAAGGGATGAATGAATGAATAACTTGCTTTTATCAAGTCGACCTTTCAATCTGAGGACAGTTCTAAGTCTCTCTAGTTCGTTCCTCTTCAGCTCGTCCAACTTCGACCTTATACTCTTACTGACGAAGTTCAGATGTTGTGCTATGGCGCCACTCTGGTGAGATAATTTTTAAATAAAAATAATATTTTTCCATTTTGATTCTTCTTTAAAATATTATATGATGAATTATTATTATTAACCAATTGATCGAATTTTATTTCAAAGTGTGTTAGCTCTTAAAATCCAAAGCATCAAATGAATGAGCATATGTGTTGGTGGGGAGGTAGAACAGTTGGTGAATGGATGAGTATTAAATGAATGAATGAAGGAATGAATGAGTGTACGAATGGAAGAAATGCATGGATGAATTAATGAATGAATCTCATAAAACAGATGAATGAATGAATGAATGAATGAATGAATGAATGAAAAAAGTTGTCAGTCACATGAGAACGGAAAAAAGATGGCAAATAAATGAATGAATGAATGAAAAGATAAATGAATGAGCTGGAAGGATGGATGGATGGATGAGAGATTTTCTTCTCAAAATTCAAAATCAATAAAACCCCAAAACCTTGATATCAGATGAATTTGCACTCTCTAGTTTCTTCCGAAACTCTTCATCCGACTCCAACAACTTCACCACTTCACGCATGTACCTCTCGTACTCCAGCCCCAGCTACACCATAATTATTATTACTCATTTTATTAATATTTAATTATATTATAATCTAAGTATTATATAATTATTTTATTATTATCATTACAATTATTATAAATTTCGTCATTTGAATTTTTTTGCAATTTTTCAAATTTAAAATAACAATATGGGTGACATCTAGAGAGCTAGAGAAAGAGAGAGAGAGAGAGAGAGAGAGAGAGAGAAAGAGAGAGAGAGAGAGGGAGAGAGAGAGAGAGAGAGTTGAAAAAATGAGTGTGTACATAGCCCACCAGTTATAAGTAGTAAATACGCTTTTTAATAATTTAATAAATATTTTCAAAAATTTATAATTAAACAAGTGAGTTTTTTTATATTTTAATTTATCTAAATTCCAAATCATCAAAAACAAATTTACAGATTCTTCCTCAGTTGAATTGGCCTCATCGTCATCGACGACGACCCCAGCCGGCTTCTCAGAGACAGGTGGGCCCACGACGACCGTCACCCACGCAGCAAACAGAAACGCGACGGCAAAGAAAATCAAAACACTTTTTTTATATAATAAAGATGGAAAGCTAATAGCAGGCCGATCCATTAGTACTATGTGTATATGCCTAATAAATAACAAAATTTTGTTTTTTAGGCATTTATCATAAAATTGGATAATAATATTAAATTTGACATTTTTAGTTTTTAATTTGATTGACTGATATCATCATGAATGATTATGATATATATCATACATAAAGTCATATATCTATGTGAAATTATATATTACATGATATGTCTAACTTTAACCTAACAGCTAACTAATACTAACTAACTAAATCATTAGATTAACGTAGATTAATTAATTAATTAATGTAAATAATTAATTAGAATAATTATCTAATCCTAATGCTAATCTATTCTAAATTTTTTAATTGGATGATATATCATTGATAGATAATAATAATAGTATGATATATATATAATAATAATAAAAAACAATAATAATAATATATAATAGTATAATAAATTATATAATAAAAATGTACATTATTAATTTTTATTTTTATTTTATAATTCATAAATTGAGTCAATTATTGACTGATGACTGAGCCATATGTGATGTCGAAATAAATAAATTAATTAACAAAAAATGAAATCTATAATGAAAATTAGTGAAAAAAAGATTTAAAATAGAATAACCTACAGAGAATAATATCAATCAAAATTAATAAATAACTAAAAATGGCAGATTTTTGAACTCAAAATGAACCTCTGGGTACTTCAAAATCTTAAAATTAATTAAAATTCACTTAACTTTTAATTAATGCCAAGTCCGGACACGAATCTAGGAATGGGCGAATAATTTCTAATAATGACGTGACATGATTTTTTTAGATTGTTTAATTTTTAATTTAATTTTTAATTTAATTTTTTAGATTATTCAACATAATTTTTGGTTTGTTAAATTTTAAACCTCTTCAACCCCTAACCCATGTTAACGGCAAAACTGGCTACTTAAATTAGTGTTTTAATGCGAATAAGGTTAAAAGGTTGTTAAGGTTAAAAGGTTATTGACGTCATCGTGTCCGCCATCAATTCCTTCATTGATTCGTAAATTTTGGTTAAAACCTTGCCCTAACTTTAGGCAACTCATTAGTACAAATCACATGTGAGACTGTGTTCGTTACTATTGACTGGTTAATTGATAGTACAGTACTATCAAACAGAATCGTAATGAACGAGGTAGTATCATAAAATGAATGAAGAGACTTTTTTAGAAATTTAAAAAATTCTCAATTTGATTTCATCGCGATATCGATGATGATGATGATTGTCACCTGACTGATTAAAAAGCATCAAAGAAACTTTTTAAAATAGGATGGAGAATTTGTTACGGAATCGTTGGAGGAAATGACGTCATGCTAGCGTCATCTATACTTAGTGAAATGTATCCCTTCAACTTCCACACCAAGAGAACAAGAGAATCTGGAAAACCGATAAGCATTAAAAGAAATAGATTGCGAGATAGTTCAATTGAAGGGTGTGCGTGTTAAAATGATTGGATGGAATTACTTGACAAATAAAACTTGTGTATATGTTCTATTTTAATTAAATTTTGAATAAAATATTTATTAAACTTGCTCGCGTTATTTCATTGATATCGATATTTTAATATAAAAGCGCTTATATATCTACGCATAATGGCTCAGCTTGGCTTGGCTTGGAATTGGATGTTAAGCAAGGTGTGGTCTCAGACTATTTTGAATTCTCCCCGAAAAATTTGAACTGCGTGCTTACATAAGTAGCACTGGTTACTGTTGCTTTATATTGAATTTATGATATATATATATATATATATATATATAAAGCGAGCAAAATTTTAATATAAAAGTGCTTATAAATCTATGCATATTGGCTCAGCCAATATGCATAGATTTATAAGCATATTTATATAGAGTTATATAGAGTTATATAGAGTTATATAGAGTTATATAGAATTATATAGAGTTATATAGAGTTATATAGAGTTATATAGAGTTATATAGAATTATATAGAGTTATATAGAGTTATATAGAGTTATATAGAGTTATATAGAGTTATATAGAGTTATATAGAGTTATATAGAGTTATATAGAGTTATATAGAGTTATATAGAGTTATATAGAGTTATATAGAGTTATATAGAGTTATATAGAGTTATATAGAGTTATATAGAGTTATATAGAGTTATATAGAGTTATATAGAGTTATACAGAGTTATATAGAGTTATATAGAGTTATATAGAGTTATATAGAGTTATATAGAGTTATATAGAGTTATATAGAGCATAAATCCTATATAGATACCTTTCTTTGAGGTTCTTTTCTTTGCCGACCGGTCGGCTTCTTTCGTTTCTCTATTTTCATTTTAATTAAATAAGATTTTTCCATTCATTTAGGTTCATTCAGGTTCATTCATTCAGGTTTAAGCTTCCAGAGAAGTTCATTGTGGATGATCAGAATGGTTGTCATGTCACGCTACGTTCGTTCATTAAGTGGCAAAGAATGCACGCCTGGCTGGGGTTCGTTTTACGGTTTCTTTGCGGTTTCTTTCTTTGCCAGTTGGCTGGCATTTCCGGCTTGCTCGTTTCTCTATTTTCATTTTAATTAATTAAATAAATAAGATTTTTTCATTTTATTTATTTCATTCAGGTTGAAGCTTCCAGAGGAGTTCATCATGGAAGATGTCAGGCTACGTTCTTTCATTCAGTGGCAATGAATACACGCCTGG